TATATGCTTACGTGTGGAAAAAATGAGCCAAGTTAACAATTTATCCACAGAGTAATGAAATGAGGTGTTCGAGCGAGAAGTTAGCTGAGGGAAATTCCAGAAGTGCATGGTCGGATAGATGTGAAGAATGGTAGAATGGCCGTGGAAAAGTTAGTACTTTGAGTTCAACAACAACGGAGTCTTTCGATGTTCTCTATTTTATGATAGGACCGGGAGACAATTCCATTTTGTGATATTTGAAGTTTTTTTCATATTTATATCATTTGATGGTTTATCATTAGCACTTTAGTTGACTTCAGGCTTCACAGAGGGGAAGGAGGAACATCAAAGTGGGAAAAAGTCGAGGGGGGGGGGGAACAGAAGAGAGTGACTCACAAATGTAAAAGAGACAGACGCAGTGGTTGCGATAAAGAGTATGTCATTATTCAGCGTGGTATTTGCAACTAATTGGGAGGCTTCTAAGATTACAGCAAGTGACGAGCAGCAAAAATTAAATTCGCTGACATTTTCTGCAGTGACGAGACCAGAAGTCTCGCAAGTCTCTCACAAACTAGTGGATTTCTTACAAATGTAGGAAATACTTTTGAGTCTATTCCCCAAAAGGAAATGATTTTTAGATGTTCAAGGAAAATGGAGGCTTCTATTGCACTCACTTTCCCTGGTTTTATCTTATTCTATTAAACCTACTACATCTACTAGAGTTTCCGATCCTGCAGTTATTGAAGGCGGCTGAACTCTTTCAAGTTCCTTTAAATCTTGTTACACTAAAAGCTTCACCATAAACGAATTGACTTGTCAGGAAAGTGGGCGCGGTTGTGCGTAAAAGTTGCTCAAAAATTGAACTACAGAAGGAGTAAGATGAATGTATGTACTCTGAAACGGTGCAGATCATGAAATACGTATTTTGGTTAGATGTGATTGAGCATGATGTGAACTTTAATCACATTGGCGTTCTAAGCTTTTATTGTGAAAGAATACATTTCAGCGCCTTAATAAAAGAACAGCTCAGTTGCCTCTAGACTCCAAACGTTATTTATTTATATCAAATGGCAGGCGTTTTGATAGTCATCATTAGCCCTTTTGTTGACTTCAGGCTTCACAGAGGGGAAGGAACATCGAAGTTAAAAAAGTCGAGAAGGGAGGAGGGAGGAACAGAAGAGCGTTTCAAAGATGTAAAAGAGACAGACACAAAGGTAGAAAAAAGGTGAGGTGAGTACTGTGAAATGATCGAATATGATATGAGGTTAGGTCATGGTAGTTTGAAGTCAGAAGTCAACTGCCGGTCAGTAGACTTGTTTGCCGTATGAGTATGCGTTGCCCAGGGTGCACCACGTGGAGGTAGGTTTATCGCACACCTCCAGACTCCAAACGTATTCCAAGTAACTGCTGAGAACTAGTCTTTAAAAGTATTGTGAGAAAACCCCAACATGAAGCTGCAAGAAATGGTTAGATAAGGGTTAGTCTGGTGAAGCTCGCACTTACTTCAGCTCGCATTGATTCTGACCTCATGTCCACACGTTTGGGGGGGTTAACTGTCGGTAACTCTGCCTCAATCGGCATAAATTGTGACACAGGCGAGTCTTCCTTCCGAACAGAAATCGATTTCATCTTGTCAACACTGTTGAGGTTAGCATTTTTCTCAAAGATGTCCTTTCATGAAGCAGCAGTGTAAAAAATGCGGGAAGATTGGACACAAGGAAGGTTTTTGCCCACATGCCACCCAGTACTCTCGAGTGATCCACCAACAGCGCAATAGCATGGGCAAAATAAGCGAATTTTACATACAAATAACCGGCGCTATATAAAGATAAGCCGAAATACCTCAGATCTAACGGCGTCTTGATTGCTGGCCGTATTGACATCAACCAATGCCAAAATATTTTCTTATTATTTGGATATAATTTAATGAAAGCCATGTACATCAATGATTATCCAAAATTAGAACTAATGGTCTAAAGATTCATAGGCCAACTCCCTCTATCTTGGGATCCAAAAGGAGCATTCAGTTTATATTGTAAGTCGACCTCAATGCTGGTTGAGCATCTTCCTAAACCCTGACCTAACACTAGATCTCTCAAGTCACTCATTCAATTGGATTTTACTGGATCTTAAATTGGTCCCTCATAGCTCATCGCAGTAGATTCGCGCTCAAGATTGCCCGAAGTTATTCCAATAAAGTCCACCACAACTGAAATGTTGGTCAATAGTCTTCATAATATGTTTAACTCAAAGACTAAAAGTGACTACTGTAATCGACTGACTGACTTCTATCTCAGTCAGTAGAATCACCTACGTCCACCCTCGTACATATCAACCTCAATAAAGTGGTCAGGTAGAACGATTTATTGACTCGTGAAGAGGGCACTTCTGAAATCAAATGAGGGGTAGGGGGGGGGGNTCTGTCTCTTTTACATCTTTGAAACTCTCTTCTGTTCCCCCTCTCCCTCTCGACTTGTTTCACTTTGATGTTCCTCCTCCTCTGTGAAGCCTGAAGTCAACTAAAGGGCTAATGATAACTTTCACAACGCCTGTCATTTGATATAAATAAATAAATACATAGATCTAAAATATCTCCCCATCTTCTTCATGCATTTAGTACGCGCACGTCTTTCCATCTATGTCCGATTAATCAAGCTTCTTTTCATGATCATAAGAGAATTGATGGTGCCCGTTCAATGATTTTGGTTCACTGATGTTGAATTTAAATTTTATTTATTTATTTCAAATGGCAGGCGTTTTGATAGTTATCATTAGCCATTTAGCTGACTTCGGGCTTCACAGGGAGAAGGAACATCAAAGTTACAGGTAGTCGAGGGGTGGGGAACAGAAGAGTGATTTACACATGTAAAAGAGACAGACAGGCACAAAGGCAGGGAAAAGGAAAGATGAGTAATGTGGAAGTGGTAGAATATGACATACAGTGGGGCCATGGTGGTTTGAAGTCAGAAGTCAACTGCCGGTTAATGGACTTTTTTGCCGTACGAGTATACGTTGCCCAGGGTGCGCCACGTGGAGGTAAGTCTGTCGCGCACCCCGTTTTAGTTAACATAAAATACATAACCTCGTTAGGTCTCTTTTTTTCAGTTTGCAGTCGGTAGGTCGGATGTAAAATTACACTGCAGTTCTATTTCTACGGCCTTCTCCTTCACTTCCTATTATTTAATTGTTTAAATGTAAATTGCTTATTAATAAGGGACTAAATTCGAATGCTTCACTTTCAATTATCTACCATAGTGCAGAATCGGTTCCATATATTCTCACGGAGTCAATATCTACGCGGAAAAACCGCACTATGTGAGTGTTTTATTCATACGCAAGACCCTCTTCTAAGCTTACTCAGCAATGATATTTCTTTACTCCACCACACACAATGCCAGCCAAGAGAACTCAATCACGTTAAAGTCATCAAATTTTGCTCGAGATAGCTGTTAACTGGCGTATGAATACAAATTCATTTATTTTTTTCATTCTTATCATCGACAAATTTCTCATATGGCCAATTAGATGATCGTAAAATGTTATTTTTGTGAGAAAATTGTTTTTTATATCTTTAAAATGGGGAGTAAATTTTAGATTGGAGTTTATATTTATACCAATTTTATAGCGGCGTGGTTGGTGAAAACATGATCATTTACTGACGAATTGTCTATTTTCACCTAATTACTCCATTACGGTGGTCTGGATCTTACCGACCCCCCCCCCTCCCTCTCCTCCAATCTCAAATTAAGTGCCCATATTCTTCCAGTAAAGCCACAATTGGGGCAGAAATCACCACAAGAAGCCCTTTTCATTCTAGACTCTCTGGGTAAGATAGCTCATATTGGGGATTCACTTTGGGAAAATTTTGTGGAGAGGAATCCGACAATCGGGTCTTTTGCTTAATGCAAAAAAGGTAATCATTAATGCACCAATGCGCCATCGATGCACACCTAAAAGGTTGAATTAAATTTTTCGTATGTGAGATTGTAGCTTCATTCCTTTTCAGCTCAAATGACTAACTGAATCCAGAATAGTGGTGTCATGGGTCCTATTCTATTTTTCCTTTTCATATTCTTATTATTTCATTATTTGAATCTCAGCACTTGTCTTTCCAGTCGATTCTATGCTGTGGTTGTCATTGCCATCGTCATTTGCTCCCGCGTTGTTGCATAATTTGATAATCACGTTTTCCTCTCTTTGTTATTCCAGTTGGAGACAGATCCTGAAGTTGTCCTAGAACGAGCAAAATCCGCAATGCAGCGTTATGGAACTCACGTGGTTATCGCAAATCTCCTAGATACACGAAAACACGAAGCTTGGATCATTCACAATCTCAGTAAAGTTAGCGGAGAGGACTTCCAGCATATTGCATTAACTTCGCCACAATCTATATCCCAATTTTCGAATCCACCAACAGAAATTGAAGAAGTACTTATTCAGAGAGTGTCTGATCTGCATTCCTACTTCTTGGAACACAGGAAATAGAATCAACTATTTCAAAGCTTTGATTCTATTCATTATTTAAAAATATTATTTTTGTTGTGTAATTTAATCTTTAGTAAGAATATATATATATCCTCTAAAACACCTCATTCTTGCGCCTTAATCTTTACTTGAAGCGTTCGATGGGGGGAAGCATTTTTGATTAATACCATTAGTTGGTGGCTGTCCACAAATTGAATTCTTTTCATTGAAATTTTGAAAGCTTTTTATTGCATATGTGGGACACGTTATCGCTGTGTGCGTCATCGTATGC